ACCCATCATTATCCCTGCCTCCCAGGGAGGTCACAGAAAGCATAGCAATGTCTCACTCACCCTTAATTCTTATTCAATTAAGCATCTGTTAGCAAAGAACACACTACTTCCAAAAGGGCAATGTGGCACCGAATGGAGTCCACTGCCACGGCCATGAGGGAAGGAGAGCCAACCTCAAAGCAGCAACTGAGAGGAAATAGTGTCAGGCAGTGGCTACAAATTCTAGCCCTGCAGTTAATCCGCAGGGTCATGAATAAAATCCAATGCGCTATTCAGTCTGATCACATTACAGTCCCTGATGTCTAGGAGAACTGCCCATCCCTGCTTCTGCAAAGGTGGATGTCATGGGCTGAATGCTTGTGTGCCCCCCCCCCCCCCCCCCCCCACCGAATTCATATGGTGAAGTCCTAGCTCCCAACGTGATGGTATTAGGAGGTGGGACCTTTGGGAGGTAATTGGGTTTAGGTGAGGTCATGACAGTGGGGTCCCCATGGTGGGACTGGTGCCCTTATAAGAAGAAAAGACACCAGAGGTCTCTTTCTCTCCACTATATGAAGACTCAGCAAAAAAAGAGGCCATCTGCAAACCGGGAAAAGGGCTCTCACCAGGAACTGAATTAGCTGATACCTTGATCTTGGACTTACTGCCTCCAGGACTGTGAGAATAAATGTCTGCTATTTAAGCTCCCCAGTCTGTGGTATTTAGTTATAGCAACCTGAGCTAAGACAGTGGACGTTGTAGACTGACCAAGGGACCCCACCTCAATGATCTATGCTTTGAGTTGAATCAAGTGAAATCTCCTAAACGTGCAATCCATGTGAATCCTCACCTGAAACACAAACCCTAAATAAGCTCCAATCCTAAACGCTTTCCCCTCTCCACTCTTCCCCTTACAATTCCACCTGTCCATTCAGGCTAATCATCAGGGTGTACAAAATGTGTTTATTCAAAGGTATGACAAAAAGACTGCAGGACTCGAGACTACATGTCCCAAGAAGTTACAATCAGTGGACCCAAAACAGATGACCTGGGAGAACCACACCTCATGAGATGGTCTGTCACTGTCACTGGAGGCTGACCAAACCCCCCAGCCTCCCTCAAAATACAAGAATCAAGTATCAGGACGACAAGGAAAAAAAAAGAAGCTAAAAACTGGGGGAAAGAAGACACGAATTATCGTTCTTTGCAGATGATAGGACTGCCTACCAGGGAATCCCAAAGAATCCACTGAAAAACCACAAGATATGATATAGTTCAATAAGATGAATAGTTACAGAGTTAAATACACAATGTCAGTAGTTTTCCTAGATAACAGTAAAATCAACTAGAAAATACTTTGGGCGAAGATACTATCTAGAAGGACAACAAAAACCATGAAATATCTGGAAATAGAACAAAAAGACCCATATGAAAAAAACTGTAAAAGTCTACTGAAAGTCATAAAATGCTATAAAGATAATAATATAAAGATGTCAATTCTTTCCCCACTGTGCCCAGTTTATTTATAAATTTAATGTCATTCTTCTGCCCATGGCATTCTCTTCTTTTCTTGGACATCTTGGATGCTCTATTCTTGGACGTCTGTGACACCTGAATTGTTCTCTGTTTTTAGCTCGTGTGAATGGGTTTCCACTCATTGCTACCAAGTAACTAACTCAACCTAAGCTACCCTTTGTCTCTCGCGGGCCCATATTTCTTGGCTCTCAAATTCCTCTTGGCGCCCTCCTGTGTCTCTCTCCAAATGGGCTTTTTTGCTACTTCTTGAAAAAAGGGGGGGTGCTTTTTTGTGGAAAGCTTTCTTGCAGACTTACCTGCCACAATACTAGCTTTGACCCCCAACTCAACATCTGTTTCTCCTTAATTAGCTCAGTACCATGACCATTAGCTCAAACTCACAAGAGAAGTATTCTGATTGACTGATCCCACTTCTTGGGTCTGGTGCCCATCACTGACCCAACTGGCTGTCACCAAGAGTAGTGGAGTCCTGTGGAACTCTGCATTGGGTTGAGCTAGGAAAAAGGTTGTTGCTGCTGGAAGCAATGATGAACTCTTTACCACATGGCTCTGTCATTATTGACTTTCATATGTTGGACACCTACATTGAGCCAGACACTCAAGTATTTTATTTCTAACATTTTCCCATCCACCTTTCCAAGTACACTTTATCATCACCTTGATGGTCAGGAAAAGCGCTGCTTAAATAGGTAACTTGTCTGCACTCGGCCAATCTGAAATAGAAGATGAATCCAGTTCCAAGACTCAAGTGTTGGGTCCTGCCTTCTAACCTGCCCAGGTGTGGGTGACATAACCACCTGCCCTGGGCTGGGATGTGGTAATCCAGTAAGCCTCTGCAAAGCTGACCATCCCCTTCTCCTGGGCCTTGCCCAGACCCTTCCCCACCAGCCAACCCCAACCACCCACCTTATTTATCTAGTGACTCCCATAATCTTTCCCATCATTGCTGGGGTGGCAGTTCGTCGGGGAGACTTGGGTGATTTTCCAAGCCTGGATAAGCTGCCCCTACCTATGTTCTGCCACAGCACAAATCTCTCCGTTTTATCATCTGTTTACCTGGGCTTCCTCCCCACCAGCCTGCCAGCACCTTGACAAGGCACAGCCACAGTCCTGGTGCATACATGTACTAGGAGTCCACTAAATATGTGTGGAATGAAGTTGAATTAATGATGTCCCAGCTTGCTGATACCCTATGTACTCCTGCTTGGGCACACCCTGAGGAAGTTCCCTCCTCCCTTCTGGGATGAACACTGCGGCCCACGGGAAGAGAAGGTTCCTCCAAGCCTGGAGCCATAAACCACATCTTCCACCTGCTCCAGGAAGCCATCGGCTACACATACCCAATTCCCATGCAGAGGGGGGCACATTTGGAATCTTCCCCTTGCTGTTAGTTGGAGTTTGACACTTTTATGAATCTACCTGGGAAGTGAAGAATTAAATTCATTCCCATGGCTCAAAGGAACCCAGATGTACCCTATGTATCGGGACCATTTAGGGGTCTCTCCATACATGAGAGCTCTCGCCTCCCCTCTCCTCTTTCTTCACCAATGGGCCATTATTACTGAGGAGTGCCTCCCATCCCTTTGGAACATTGGGGAAGAACACTCCTTAGATTCTCCAGCTTCCCATGGAGAGTCCCCTCTAGGGGGAGCATCCTAACTGTAAAACCAGACTTGCTTCGAGGTGAATCAGAGCTGGAGGAGACCCATGCCGGCCGTCAGGGCTAGACACGCTTAGTAAGGCGGCCACTCCCTTTATGTGATAATATTCAGAGAACAAAGGGACAGTGAGAGCACAGAAGGACATAAAAGAAATTCAACTGAATTATGTTCCCAACTTTCTTTACCTCCATAAAGAGTACACAGCAGCCCCTAGGACTTCTGTGGCATTTTCCCCTGCTGTCTCGGGAAGCTTGTTCTCAGTCATCCCCCCCCCCCCCCAACCTGCTGTCCTGTTTTCAGTGAGTCCCTGGCTGCCGGGAGCTCCGGGAAGCCCCGGCTGGTTGCCGGCACTGACGTGATCTGATTGGGTACTCATCTAATCAGAAACCTGTTAGAGGAACTCCAGAGCCCAGCCCTGTCTTGTCTCCAACAGCCGCAGAAAATTGTCCAGTAGGAGGGATCTCCCCACCAAACACAATAGACACACTTTCGGGTGCATTTTGTGAAGCAGTGCATCTTCCCAAGGATGCCCGTCTTTCTCGGTCCGGACACCTGTGGCAACAAGTGAGCCCTGCCAGAGGCACAGCATGGGCCCCACCCCCAGCCGTCACCATGCCTGCTCCCACCATACTTCACACCCACGCTCCCAGGCACAAGTGTGAGCACATGCAGGCACACAGAGCCCTGTCTCTCCTCTTTCCACCATTCTGCGTGCTCCAACTCGATCCTTGGTGAAGGAGCTGGTGCAGGGAGATGGGATGGCCCTCGGTGGTACATCGTGCCTTCCCCGAGCACCCCAGGATGCTGAACATGAGATTCGGCTTCTGTACCAGCTTCCCACCTGGCAAAGCTCCAACAACAGCAAGATTGAGTAGCTCAGGGCTCCTGCCATCTGGGGCCCCAAGGCAAGCATCCAACCCCCTGCTCTTGGCCCTGTGGACCATCCTCTCCTCCCGGCCGGGGAGCCCCTTCAGGGCGTGTGAAACCATTTACTTGCAAGGTCCTCAGGGGAAGATATGTGATAGGAGAGAAGCCAGACAGCCTCTCCAAATTGCAGGTCTTGGGAATGATCCTAGCAAGTAGCACATCACAGGGTGAGGAGCTCCGGGAGGTGGGGGAGACCAGAGGGCCACCTTTCCCCACGGAGCCACACGGGTGCAGAGAGAACGGCCGCAGCGGGGGCGGAAGTGGGGAGCGTCCCCTTTGGAGTTGTGAAACGCACCTGCTGAGCACACCTGAGTGACACACGCCAAATGCTGATGCACCACCCACCCCCTTCTCGTTCTCCCGGGTGAGTCATAATTCCCCTGGGAAGCTGCTGACTCTTTGACACTCCCATCAGAAGAGGAAAACGCACTCTCCAGATGACACAGGTATGGCAAAGAGCGGACGTCTCATTCCCACAGAAAGCCTCCTCACAGAAGCACCGTGTTTCAGCTCCAACTCTTAAGGGATGGAGAACACAGACAGCTGCCCTGCAGGCACCTCTAGCTCTGGGTAACTTCCCAGGTTAATCTAAAGGGAGAGAGGAAGCAGACACTTTAATCACACTTCGTAACTCCATTTTATTACAACATCAAGGAAAACAGGTGCAGGAGGAACGATACTAGAGATCAACAGAGATGAAGCCACTCACAGCTGCATTGTCTACACCTTCCTATCAGGGAATAAATATCACGGGTCTCTGTACATGCATTGCAGGTCGGGTGTGCATGTGTGTATCGTGTGCAGATGAATTCTCTCTAGGGTGTTGTTCTTTTAATTTCTTTGACAGATGATGGTTGAATTCGGTGTCTTCTGGAAGACTAGGAGGGGGCTCTCCCGCTAGGACTGGGACCCAGCCTTTTTCTTCTGGAATTTTCTGAACTGAGACTGAATGGCCACCGCCGCGCGTTCTGTCTCTGGCGCATCCATGTCAATGTCAAATTCTTCTTGAACTTTCTTCTGCCCGTCTGTAACAACAGAAAACACAAGCATCAGGCCGTCACTGAGCTGAGAGCCGGAAGGCGGACAGCCGTCCGTCCACCGTGAAGCAAACACCCACCACCCCCCCCACACACACGACCCCTGGTTTGCAAGGGGTCCTGATCCCCATCAGAGCCCAGAACGGGCTGTTGTCTGGCTGCCCCAACGCTACACCTGCCAGAGACCACAAAACTCAAGAACACAGTCCCAACCTGTCCGACATTTTCTGTACCTGCTCTTCTGGGTCTCGTGGCCACGTTTTACATAGTGTTAAAAATATTAGCTGTGTTTTTACTGTTCCCTGCTGCCTCACGGAGATACGGTTTTAATAGTGCCACAGATATTGACCCAGTGGACGACTGACGTTCACAAGAACTCCGGGTTAAAGTCACTGGGTTTCTGTGTATACTTGCATTGTCAATGACATTGCTGATTGGATTAGGACTTCTGTCTTCATCATAGCCGCCAACGGATGACCCCATCTGACCTTCACAATTTGGCCAAACTTCCACAGGTTTTACGTTTTGTTCCAAGGAGGTACACTTAGTGGTGTGTTTGCTATGCCAGAAGGCTTTAACTAATTCACACAGTAATGATCACAGAAAATAGGATAGAAGCCAAAGCAAAGTGAACACACAGGCTTTTGTGCTGAACATCAGCTGACTTCTAGCCAAATATAAAAACGAATAAATAAATAAAATCCTCCAGTCATAAAAGGGAAGAATCTTTACAACTCTTTCAATCTGATGAAAGTTAATCATCACAATTGCCAAGGTAATTTTTAAATCTTTTTTTAATATTTATTTATTTTTGAGAGAGAGACAAAGAGAGAGAGAGCACAAGTTGGGGAGGGGCAGAGAGATAGGAGGACAGAGGATATGAAGCGGGCTCCACACTGACAGCACAGAGCTGACGTAGCTCAACCATGAACTGTAGATTGAGGACTGGAAGCCGAAGCTTCCAGTCAACTCACCCTGGGGTGCCCCAAGGCCTTTTTAAAAAAAAATATACAGGCTTTCCAGGGCTTCTGCTGGGTGGCCCAGTCGATTAAGCGTCCACTGCCTCATGTCATGATCTCGAGGTCCATGAGTCCAAGCCCTGCGTTGGGCTCTGTGCTGACAGCTCGGAGCCTGGAGCCTGCTTCAGATTCTGTGTCTCCCTCTCTCTCTCTGCCCCTCCCCTGCACATGCTCTGTCTCTGTCTCAAAAATAAATAAAATGATATTATTATATATATATATATATATATATATATATATATATATAAAATTCCTGGGCCCCACTCCAGACTCGGGGTTGCACTAGGAAGAGACCCTGGTGGCAAAACCAAGTCAAGTGAGTCAGTAGCCCTGGGGGAGCACCAGACAGCCCTACTTTATAAAAGGCTCTCAGGTGGTTCTAAGGTGCAGGCAAAGTTGAGACTAACCACTCTGTCCACAGACAGGCGTGCAGAATAAAGCCCTAGAGTTGGCTCGAGGCGAAATGGGGACACTCCACCCCACCACACCTCACTGCCACCTGCACTTGTACCTGGAGCCCAGCAGTGTGCTGGGCTCATCCAGCTTGGAACGGGAATGTTAGGGGCATTTGAGGAAGGAGAGAAAGCCCCAGCCAGGTAGCAGGGACAGGGTTCTATTCCTGACTTTGTCACCAGGCAGACTGGAGTTCACTACCCCCCTCCGCCGACTCCTTTGATGACAATGTCTGTATGCACCAACCCCGACAAAGTGAGGCGAGATTCCTTTCAAGTGAACCAGGTTTGTTCCCCCCTGCCTGCTCGTTCTCTCTCTTAGGTGGATGACAGACGGATAGATAGATAGATAGATAGATAGATAGATAGATAGATAGATAGATAATAGATAAATAATAGATATAGATAGATAGATAGATAGATAGATAGATAGATAGATATAGTAGGTAGGTAGGTAGGTAGGTAGATAGATGATAGATAATACATAGATAAGAATATAAATATACATGAGTTGCCCCTTATTTCAAGTGCATCTGGTTATGTGACATTTCCTTTGCAAACCCTTCAGCAGGTTCCTGTCAATTTTACCAGAGACTAAGCACTTTCTGCTTAGATCCCTCCAATCTCAACTCTATCTGGGAGGAGAAGCCACTGGCTTTGCAAGCCTTGCCAGACTGATTGGTCTGTGACCTCAATCAGTACAACTGTTTTCCTCGATCCCAGATTGGCTGCCGATGTCCACGACAGCAGGGAATGTGAAGAGCCCCAGTGTCCAGGGAATATTTGGGGGCCATCTTTTTCGAACCCACAAGAGCCCAGATGATACGGAGGCACACATGGGTTTGTCTTGTGCTGCATCGAGTAGCCATTCACATCTCAAAGGGCGTTGTAGGAAATCTACTAAGATTAGGGCCTCTGGGCGGGGCAGGAGTTCCCTGAGGCTCATGTCAGGACCTTAAACGTGTTCCATTAACATTATCGCATGAGCCCGGGATGGGATAGTGTCTGGCAAACCTGAGCTGTGACCCGCTGCAGCTGACGTGCTCCCAGAAATGGACCCTCTGCACCAACCAGAGCGGTGATAAGACCTTCAGCCCTAGGATTTGTCATAAGACGGCTCAGGTCCCCACATCCTCTTTCTCCTCGAGGATCCCCAGCATCTGGTGTGTGGTGATCACAAAGTGGGAGACCAGCTCTCCTCTAAGGGGACGTGGAAGGCCTTTCGGTCTTAAAACACTGCAACCTGAAGCCTTTGAACGGCCTGACTCATCCGTCCCCTTAACAATAATGAAGAAAACAGCAATATTATTTTTTGGCAAACGACAAAGGAAGGTGTGGAAAATGATGTATATTTAGGAGCTGCACGAGACTGTGAAGATGGGCCGTAAAAATAAATTTCACAATCTCGTCTGAAACTAATATCTTCAGCCAAAAGTAATTTATACATTCCTCCTTAGTTGGGAAAATATTATAACGTTTAAAGAAGAAAGCATGACTATTTCAGGAATGGTTACTTGGCCGAGTCAAGCATCCCCTGGGGAGGGTCTGATAATCTTACTCCTTCCACCGAGATTTGTAAAGCGGGGGCGGGGGGCCCAGAATGCCGTGGGGAAGGAATAATTAGTTACATTTGGTGCCACAGGGTTCACTGCAAATGATGCAAATGATCCGTGTGGTCCTGAGACTAGGAAGGCACAGCTCTGAGCGCCCCAGATTCGGCAGGAGCCGAGGGATGGTGGGGGGAGGGCTTCCGGAGGCACCACAGCCCTCGGGGCCACTCCGCGTCTGCAAGCCTCAAGCCCTGGAGAAACCGAGTCACGGAGCTGCTCCAGAAGCTCTCCTTCCCACCCTCCAGATGATGGGGACAGCAACAGGGCAGAGGTGGCTGTGTGAGCGCCTCCCTTCCCCATCGCTTGGGGGTCGGCACCAGGATCCTATTCTGCTGCTCGGAGAGAGGATTTGGTCCACGTCTGCGGGGGAGGTGGAGTCGGGGGGGGACAGGAAGTGCCGACACACCCCAGCCCTGCACCCCACATTATGGCTCCTCACACGCAATCACTACTTTGTTCTTTCTCTCCCCCCTGCTCTGTGGTCCCTCGTCCCACGACAGCCTGAGCTCCATGAGGTCAGGGGCTTCATCCGCCTTGTTCCAGAAGCTCACACAGGGCCAGCACATAGTAGGTGTTCAGTTAGTGACCGCTAATTGCAAGTGAGTCTGGTAATGAAGAGGACAGGCCGCTGTCCGGTGCTGCCTCTATCTCAGGACTACACGATTCGGTCGCCCTCAGCGGTAACCGTCTCCTCTCCACTTCTACCTGAACTCGAAAGGGGGGAGGCTGGGAGGCGCTACGGCAAAGTCTCCAGGGGGCCAGCTGAGGGGCACCGTCCACGGATGACTTGTGCACAAGTTGGGAAATGGGGCCACGTTGGAGTGACATGAGGAAGCATCGTTTGTGGGGGGTGGGGGCTTGCCGCAGGGAATGGTCAGGGCCTGGGCAGACAGAAGGACTCACAGGCATTCAGGGGTGAGCTCTGGGTGGGCTCTGTGCCTAGAACAGGGCCTGGCATCAGCACCTGGCCAAAGAATAAAGGAAAAGCAGCCTCAGGCAGGCAGTGCCCTCCAGCCTTCTCTGGGCTAAGGCTGACTCCCTCCCAACCCTCAGGTCCTCCTGGTCCCGTGAGGCAGCTGCCGGAAGCAGGGGTCGTGGGTCCAGGTAGAGTGACTTGGGGGTATGTCCCACTGCTCTGTGACTCTCATGAAGGTTCATCGCCTCACTGGGCCTCAGTTTGCCCATCTCCGAAATGGGAGAGGTAAAGTCATCTTTAAAAGCCACTTGCACCCAGCCACTGGTGTTTTGTGCAGGTCAAGGCCATGTTGCAAACTGAAGCACTGGCCCAGTGAGTGGTGTTGAGCAGGCCACGCCAGAGCTACAAAGCAGGTGGAGGGGGGTGTGGGCGGTCACACGGCTTTCCAGCCACCAGGCCCTGCACCCGCTCAGACCTTCAGTTGTTGGGACCTCATGAGGAGGCAAAGGGAATGAATGCCTTCCAGCAGGGCCGGCCACGCGGCCATCACGTGCGTCTGAGCGGCGGCGCCGAGGGGTCAGGCCCTCCCCAGCCTCTTGGATGGCAGGAGGCGTTTGCTGGGCTTGTCGCCTCACGTCCTCGCTCGGCAGCAGAAGGCCCAGAGGCTGTACCAAAAGACAGGTGTAGCCCACACTCAGCTGATTAAACGTAAACCTGCAGTGCCCAGTCTCCGTCGCTAGGGGGCACTGCGGGCGCCCGCCCCTCGTCTGCAAGGCTTCTCTCTCGGGAGGGACAGTAGATCTAAATGGCAGCTGGCAAACGTGTGCCGTTCTCATCTCCAGGCCACCCTGCAGCCGTTCCCGGATTCTTCCACGTGTCCCTTCATAAAGACGTGCGCCTGCTCCCCGCTGGGCCGGGTGGGCTCCCTGACATGTTTCTCTAGGATCCCACTGCCGGGAGCAGACAAAAAGCCATGGTGACACCCCACCCC